AAGTTCTTTTCAGATGTTTTGCTCATAAAACCTAATCGTATTAGTCTGTGCTGCACTCAAATAGGAGACACAGGGGTTGGATGTCATATGGTTAGTCGACAAAGTTGCTTAATGTTGTTCTAGACATTTGCTGGATTCAAAAACATAATGTTCTGTAATGATTTTGTACAAATCGAATTGATTTGTACGACTTAAATTCTGCTGATAACCAGTAAATTCATATTTCCATATACATCTGAGTGTAAAGCTCTTTTCTGTTGAATTGCATAAAAAAGGAGGAATTATGTCAACTTTTAAACGCCAAAAGTGGATGAAGCCACATGATTGTAAAGTACGTAAGTGTCCTCTTCCAGCTGTCACTCACAACCATGGCGTCTGGGGTACAATGATGGAGCGGCACAAAGAAAGAAGCTCAAAATTGGCCAACTTATGAACTAAGTCGGCGTAATGGTGCTGATTTAAAAAGTCATAAAGAAATATCAGTTGAACACAGTATTTTGGCAGCAGAGATTCCTGCTTTTCTACAAGTGTACAAGTATTTTCTTGAGGATAAAACCCTGGAACAAAAGACTCCTGAAGATTTGCCTTTTTTTTGCATTTTACTTTGTAATTGTTGCAGTTCTTGAACAGAGCATGAAACAAACACAGTTATTTAGATTTTGTTCCAAGACACTGGTGATGGGTCATAGGCTGTGCCTAGAAATTCTGTCCATAAAGGTTATGAACAGAACCGGTGACAAAGGGCAGCCCTGGCGGAGTCCAACTCTCACTGGAAACAAGTCCGACTTACAGCTGGCTACAGCTGGAAAAAGGTAGATTGCTTTTTCCAGGTCGGAGGGGCGGTCCTGCCTTAAGTGGAGAAGTTCAAGTATCTCGGGATCTTGTTCACGAGTGAGGGTAGGATGGAACGGGAGATCGACAGACGGATCGGAGCGGCATCAACAGTGATGCAGACGCTAACCCGATCAATCGTGGTGAAGAAAGAGCTGAGCTATAAGGAGAGACTCTCGATGTACGGGTGGATCTACGTGTTGAGCCTCACCTATGGCCATGAACTTTGGGTAATGACCGAAAGAACAAGATCGCGGATACAAGCGGCCAAAATGGGTTTCCTTCGCAGGGTGGCCAGGCTCAGCCTTAGAGATAGGGTAAGGAGCTTGGGCACTCGGGAGGCGCTCAGAGTAGAACCGCTGCTCCTTCACGTCAAGAGGAGTCAGCTGAGGTGGCTCGGGCATCTGGTTGGGATGCCTTCTGGACGCCTCCTGTTAGAGGTGTTCCAGACATGTCCCACTGGGAGGAGACCTCGTGGCCGGCCCAGGACCAGGTGGAGGGATAATATCTCTAGCCTGGCCTGGGAGCGCCTGGGAATCCCTTCGGAGGAGCTGGTGGAAGTGGCTGGGGTGAGGGCCGTCTGGGCTTCCCTCCTGAAGCTGCTGCCCCCGAAACCCGGACCCGAATGAAGCAGAAGAAAACGACGACACTGGCGATGGGTTATAAAGGATTGACAACTATTTATTTTGCGTTTCATAATGCAAACTGGTGCACAGAACCATTTTTTGTGGTCCTCTTCCAGACTTGATGAAGAAATCTTGAGGATTTAAAGGTAATTTTTTTCTCAGTTTAAGATCATGAAGTTTTTTTTTCTGAGATGACTCGCAGATGATACCCTGACGACCAAAGAGGGTGTACAGATGTAACAGATGCACTAAGCAGCTTCTTTCATCAAGCTCCATCTGGTCAGCGTTTCATGATGAAGAACAAAAGGTGCCACTCCTCCTGTTACTCTGTGTACTTTGGAGCATTTTCAAAGAGCAGAGACTCCTCTGAAATCAGCCTGAGAAGAATCGATCTCTGTCTCTTTTGTGAGGCCTCTCTCCTTTTCCTCGCTGCTGGATAGTGATTCTTTGGTTCCCTGAGGACCTGAAGCCGTGTTGGATCAGACACGGGACACAAATCAGAATTAGGAAAAACTGCCAGAGTGCACTTCTTCTTCAAAGACTCTGATCGGTTGGATCTGGATTACTGCACCCGGCTGTGGTGTGTTTCCTCTTCTTCACTGTGCTCCTGCAGATTTGAACATGCATGTGACTGCTTTTCTACTTGTATGTTCTCCACACTCCAGCAGCTATTTTTCACAGGCCATCTGCTTAAAGCTTCAGCCAGTGTGGAGGCAGCAGCTGGTGAGGAGGATGGGAAATGAGGGATGGAGTGTCAGCATTTGTTTAAGTTCATATTTTTGCACAGCTTTGCTCTCTGAGTGCCATGTTCCTAAGAGGAGGAGCTTTAAACTCACATTTTCTGCCCATATTGTAACAATTACATCAGTGAGAAATGTGTATATCCTTGCAGCAAGAGTGGGATGTTTACTCTGTAATCCCGTCGTCTCTGCAGGGAGGAAGATGATCCTGTCTGAGTGTAAAATCATCCCTGCAGTTTCAAGGTTATCTCATTCTTCCCTCCGTCAGCGTGGAGTTTTCTGTCCCAGTTATTCAGCCGAATCAATAGCCGTCATCTAATGAAAAGGCTTAAACAACTCTGGCCTGAATTTATGGGAGCAGAAATTCACAGATCAATAAATCCGAGGTTGTTGTATCTCTCTCTGCTGACCACAAACCGGCTCCATGGTCGAACAAAACCTGCCCCTCCCCCGCCCAGGTGTCACCTGGAGGACATGCAGATAATGAGCAGAGTTTGTGTCGGAGTTTTGCACAGTGGAGGTGTATTATATAGACAGGAGGTGAATGCAGGCAGGCAGAGGTCAGCATTATTCACAGAGTGTGTTACCTCCAGTTCTGGGTGCCTCTGCTTTCTATTAGAGCTCTCTGAAGCCCGGTATTCTCAGCAGGAGGATGACTCATTTCTGATCCTGCTCTCTTTTTCACCGCTGACAGCTGAGTTAATCATGTCTGTCACTTTATTTTACAACAGCATGACTGGAAGTTGTCATTTTATTGATTATTTATGAGGTCCAAACTTTCCCCGTCTAAATCAGAACACACAGAAATGAAAAATATTTCATCATAAACTGCAGCTGCGCTCTAAAACAGATTAAAACCCCACTTATAAATATTTATATCTATCATCTAGAGATCATCTGACAATGATTGATGAGAAAACGGCCATCAAGAGGTGCCTTACTCTGCACGTCCTCTGAAAAAGTGAGTTTTTTATAGCCTGTTTTAGCTCTTCACGCTTCCTTCTGGTTGTACACAACTCTTAAAAAGTCCTGATAAGTTACATTCAACAGCTGCTGCCTGCTGTCTATCATTCAATTATAATCCAAACCATTTCAAAACAAAAGTAGTCCTTTGAATTTGTTCTGTCAATCAAATTTTCTCAAAACTGTTTTAAACTTGCAAATTCAACAAAACACGACTCAGAACACAGTCTGACATTAAATATGAAAATGTGAAATAATTAAAATAATAATAATTAAAATAATAATAATAATAATAATAATAATAATAATAATAATAATAATAATAATAATAATAATAATAAATTATTATTATTATTATTATTTTTATTATTATTATTATTATTGTTGATATTTTTATTATTATATTTTTTGTTTTTTTTTCTTCTCTGCTCTTCTATGATAATAATAATAAATATTTTTCTGATTATTATGTCATAATGCTTACTTTTTATTCTTTTACTCTCTCCTCAACAATTATCATAATTTAAAAGGGGGGAAAAAGAAGGACAATCACACCCACAAACACACACACACTTCTCAACACACATAAAAACACCCACAATTACTTCAACATAGCCTTCAAACTAAAAGGATCAAAATGTTATATGTTACTGCTTTACTTTGTTTTGTCTCTTTTGCCCATTTGTGCTGTATACTCTACATGTTGTCAACCACCTGTCATGATCTGTCTTGCATCACCTAATAAAAAAATATAAATATATATATATATATGTATGACGCTCTCTCTGAGTTATTTCAAGCGGCTAACTTTTCTTTCTTAAATTCTTTTTGATCTTTTGAGTTACGTCTCATGGGTCTATATTTCTCATGCCTGAAAAGAAAACGTAAAAAAAAATTCCACGTCTGTCAAATTTGATAAAATAACATGACACAGTCTGCCTTCAGGCCCTATCAGTGGATTTCACATTCCATAAATAAAAAACAGATTTCTTTTCTGATGCTGATTTTCTTCTTTTGTTGAAAGTTTCACAGTCCAGATTTGCCCCTGATTTTAAGTCTGCCTTGTGGTCCCACAAGCTCAATTTTTCCTGCATGACGTTTGTACTTTCAACCAAATAAAATTCACAGTGGGGCCCCAGCAGTTAATAAAATTCTCTGCACATCTGAGATATTTTAATATTCGTCATCTTTTAAATAAAGTCTAACACTTCTTTTTTTTTTTACAACTCAGTCTTTGGGTTCAACTCATTCATTTAAAGTTTTTCCACCCAACAACACTGAACAAAAATATCAACACAACACTGTTGTTTTTGCTCCCATTTTTCATGAGCTGAACTCAAAGATCTAAGACTTTTTCCACGTACACAAAAGACAAACTATTTCTCTCAAATATCGTTGACAAATGTGTCTAAATCTGTTTTAGTGCACACTTCTCCTTTAATGAGATAATCCAACCACCTCACAGGTGTGGCATATCAAGATGCTGATTAGACAGCATGATTGTTGCACAGGTGTGCTTTAGACTGACGACCTGTGCAGTGTGTGTTAAATGAAGGATGAGCCTTTATTAATTATTCGAATTCAACTTAACTTCAACTTGCAAATACTTAGGGTGACCATACGTCCTCTTTTACCTGGACATGTCCTCTTTTTGGGGGGCTGTCCGACCTTGTGGGGGAGAGTTTATAAAATCCTTCAAATGTCCACAGTTTTGCATGGAAAAACTCTCAAAATTTTCTATGCACGACTTCTCTTTTTTTTCGTGTCCTCTTTTTGGGGAGTCAGAGTATGGTCACCCTAATATACTTATACAGTTATATATATAACTGTAAACATGGTCTGCTTTAGGGTTCTGCAGTCGATGTTGTGGAAACTTTTTTAAGTGATTTTAAGAAGCTGCATTTCCTTTTTGTGACTTTTTTTTTTTGTCTTTAGAATAAAGTTTGACTCTTTAACTCAAGAGTGAACATCAAGATTGTTGGAAAAATGGTTCCCAGCTCAAAAACAGGTCTGCTTTGGAGTTCTGCCAATTGTTCAACAGTAGAAACTCGAGGGTTTTGTTCTTCTACTTCTTGCCAAACTTCTAAAAAGGCTTTTCTTGGAGAGTAAACTGTGACTACTAAGTGTGAAATACGACCATACTGCAGAACTTAAATGTACGCATATTCTTAATATTAATCTGAAGAATACTGCTGTAATTCATGTCATTCAAGAAAAGCCTAAAACTAATTATTAAAGCTGTTCTTAGATTAGTTAAATAAGGCAGGCAAGAGAAGAAAGCGCCATCGTTACCATGCCTGCGTGAACAGGGATACTCATCCAAACAGGACAAGAGCTGGAGCTCCTTCTGAATATTGTTCTATTGTCCACAAACATGATCCCAGCATGCATTAGAGATGAAAACAGAGTAGGATCAAAAACAATAGATGCATTCCTGATGATATGTAGACATAAAACATTCCCCACTCTGCTGCACACTGACCCCGACCGACACAGCAGGTCTCTGTCTCGTTCCCGTTCCTTTAAAATGCACATTTCTCACGGTCTATTTCAAGGAGGAAATGTATCGCCTTTGATGCTAAACACATCAAACATCCAATTCTGTTTTTCCATCTCGACATCGGCCAGTTTTCGAGTTCGGAGAGGGGGCGCTTCTGAACGATCACACCATGCATGGGATGTGGTGCAATATATGAAAACAGCCCGGCAGGATCTGCAGCCTCTCTGGAGTCCGTAGCAGAAAATTACAGGCACGAACAATCTGAAGCAGCCACAAGAGGTACGACAACTGGTGTTTGTTTGCTATAGAGAGCCATTAGTGATAAAACTTCACTTCAGCCAAACAGGGATGTGTTTGTAAGAAATTCAAAGGTTAAAAAATCGATATGTTCAAGGCAGTTCCTCTTAAAAAGGCGAGTGTCTGCTCTAATGGTCTTAAAAGAAAAAGTTCCTGCTCCTATTTTTTATGAATTATGATGCCTTGGTTGTTTTGCACCTTGAGCTCTTTGCGAAGCTCTCCCTGCACCGGCATGTACATATATGAAAGTGTGCTCCTCCCGCCTCAGGCTCAAAGAAAGGCAGGGAACCACCCAACATATAACATGTATGTAAATAACTGAGTTCCAGCTCTTTTTAATGGTGTGTAAAAATGTGTGATAAGTATAAACATCCCTCCATGAACCTGCTAAACACACACTGAGTTAAAAAAAAATAATGTGTGCAGATGAGAAATAAAGCCGGAGACAACCATTGTTTATCCCTGAGAGTTTCTAGCCAACAGTGTGTGTTTGTGTTTAAGCAGAAGGACACACACACATCCTTATTAAACACACTGTATCCCTGGAGCCCTCTTCAAACCTTTTGTTTGCGCACCAACTCCAGAGTAATGGAGGTAGAATTAGAGAGCAGATCTTTGTTTTCTCATGGCTTTGCGTCTACCCGCAGGAATACAGCCTCGGATACACAATCATTAAAAACCCTCACAGCAGACAAAGGTCACTGCTGGGCGCTGAAATAAAATGCTGATGAGGACACGGAGAGAGAAAGAGAGAGAGAGAGAGAAAAAAACATCAAATAATGAGGAATAAAAACAGAGCTGTGCACATATCGACAGGAATTTATCTTTAGTTATAAAACATCTTTGTACAGGATCTCTAGAGGTTTACAAAAGGCTGAGCACATACACACAGAACACATGTAGTACAAATAAACCACAATTAATAAATACAGACAGACGTTTTATACAGAATTTACACATTACAGGGAACTACAGGACTTGAACATTTACAGTGCAGGTACCACTGAATGACACTTTGACTATTTGGGTGTTTTCATGCATTTCTGTTAAAGGGGCGATGCAGCAGGGTGTTGGGCTGGGTATCGATAAGGACTTTTGCCTGAACTGGAGGTCAAAGGAATTCAAAGAAATAGACGTAACCAGTTGGTTTAAAAGTATAGTGCCTTAAAGTTAGGGTTGGTAATCTGATTTCGATACACTTTTTGTTATTCTGTTTAAAATGAGATTTATGTTCCAATGGCAACTTTAAAAAAAAGTGAACCATAGCCGCTATCTACAACAAGAGTAAAACTGGGAAAACACCAACCAATCAAATCATGTGGGTCCCACATTTTTAAACCAATCAAACCCTGTGCGTGCCTCCTGCGCATACATGTCGCTGCATCGAATCACTGGCCCTGATTCAATGCACATAGCTGGGACAGAGTTTGGAGAAGGCAAGGGCGAAAATGAAAGTCAACATCCGGACAGCTTTTAAGCGATGTAGAGAACTGAAGGTCCTTTCACACAGGGACCGTTTTTACCTGTGATTATTTCAGACGTCAGTATTTTTTTTCGAACCCGTATCCTGTCAATACAAACGTTCACATCAGCGACGTTTTCCTGTCCTGCGATATTGTGGCATTTATTTTTTCGGATCATGGTCGATTTTTCTAAAGTTTCGCATACTGTGTGTCCACTTCTGACCAATCAGATTTCGTGTTGTTGCGACGTCAAATTCACCGGTATATCCAACATGGCCGACCGGCTGATTGTTTACTTGTCGGAGAACAGAGTGCTTTTTGATAAAAGACACAAACATTACAAAGATAACGACCTAAAGGACAACTTGTGGAGAGTCATAGCGTTGGATCTCTCATATGACGATAGTTTGTGTGCTTTAACAGTTTGCTAAACATCTTTGTTTTAACTTTTATCTGTGCTAAGTAACTTTAGCTCGTAAGCTAACCTGTTCAGATACAACATACCATATGTATTTTCACTGTCTCAAACTCAATCACGTTGCTGTCACAGCACCATCAGGTCTCAGTTGTTACCTTACATTTATGGATTATAGTTTAATGTGCTTATCTGGTACTGGCCCCGACTCAGTACATGCTATCATGACAGACAGTCATCTCAACACTAGTGTCTAATCGGAACTGAAAAACAGTCAGTCTGCTATTTTGTCAGTCTTCTCGCTTCCACCCAGGCCGCGTCTTTTTTCCCCCCCGGAAAGTCGCAAAATCGCATCGGGCTTGATGTGTATAGTCAAGCCCGTCAAAATTCTCCTCCGAATATTTCGTTATTTTGTGTTCTATATGCGCGTCGGCTCCGGTGTGTAAGGACCTTGAAAGAGGTCAAGGGCTTTAAAAGTGATGCCATGGTCGCTCATTTTCTGTTGGAAAGGTACGCTGAGGGTTTGCTTCAGGGCGATTTTTAATCTTGATCAAGTATTTAGCCATGATGCTAGTTACGTGGTCATCCCCATGCTAGCATTACCTTCTTCATCCCTTCTGTGCAAAAACTTCCCAATCTTAAGTCCCAAAGTTTTGAGTCTGTGGTTTTGAATCACCAGACAGCAGCACTGGTGTATGATGCTACATTCAAATTCATGCTAGTTTGCCCTGATTACCAACCCTACCTTTAACCGTGAAATATTTTATGTTGTTTCAAGAATATTCAGACAGTAATTTAGGCGGAGAGCACAGTGGTGTTTTTGGAAGTATTATGGTTATTTATCGTCCTAACAGCATTGAGGAGGTTTCTGCTAAATGCAGATTGGGTAAAAATGCTAAATTGTATCTTTATTTTTTTATATTTGCACCTCTTAAAAATTTGTACCCAGCCCTAAAGGTTACAGGGTTGTTTTTTTTACATGCTATTATGATGCACACCCACATATCACACACAAGAGCTGAGATTTATCTCTCAGCTGGGAGTCAAAGGGAGGAAAAACTTCATTACTGGGTGCAGGTTGCATAAATGTATCCTTTTTTTTAAAGAGGAAACAGCAGCAGAACATGTTTGATCTTGTGTGGAGTTAATCCATTTAATCTGAATGTCATACTAACTGTACTGTTAGTACAAATCAATGAGACCGTGGTTGTTCAGGGATTGATTTATGTGTTAACTCTGGCCTGTTTGCTCACGCAGAGTAATGATGGTGTGGGGGTCAGAGGAGCTTCATCAATAACAGCTCAGTCCAGTCAGGTATTGCACACAGAGAGAATTCATGTAGAGGCTCGTTGTTTGGCGATTTTCCGGTAGTCCTGAGTTTGGGAGTATGGGAGTCTTGGTTCATGCATGCTGATTGGCTGTCTGGGTTCAGTGCCTCTCGATGATTGGCATGTTTTGGTGGAGCTTCCTCAGCCTCGGTCCTGAAGGGCGGGAAAGATGTTTTAATGAACATTTCACACAGCGTCTCAACTCTTCTGGAATAGTTGTGTTTTCATCTCTAATCTGTCTCATGTCTTACTGTGTCTCAGGGTGCTTTGGTTTCCAGGAGTCTGGAAGGTTCTGGATGCTGCCGGACCTTCTCCCTCCGCTGTGATAGCCTGCACCTCCAGTCTGTACAGGCTGTCAGGGTGGAGGTCTGTCACCACCAGGACGTTCGCCTCCTGAAAAAGAAAAGAAAGAATAAAGAATCTTAGAGACAGAAAGAGAAGAGGCAGGAGACAAAGTTTCAAACCTGCTCAAGGTGTGTGAAATTGGAGGGAAGCTGCAATCTGAAGGTTTTGGAAATGTTTGTCAGCTCAGTGAACCCGGAGATTCATCTGCAGGGGAACAAATCTGACTGCTAAAAAGGCAAGAAATTGAAAAAGGGAGAGGCTGAAACCAACCGACCAACCAGCTTAACAAACAAACAAACAAACAGAAACTGAGGATTCAATCAAGAATTGGAAAATTAAAAAGAAAAAGTTTGACTGTTCTTAGCGCTTCCCTTTGCTTGTAAAATAATTCTCATTATCATATCAAATATGTACTTGACTTAACCCAGCTGTTTCATGTCAGATTTGTCATTTCTTTGTCCATTTTGTGGAGTTAATCTTCTTATTTTTCTATTTTTTCTACAAAGCCAGAGTGTTTAAAGTTCAGTTCATTTAGAAACAGAAAGTCAAAAAAACATATTTTCATCCTTTTCAGTATAATTCAAACATGGGTTTTTCTGTCTTTCAACAAAATATCCTCCACCATCCAACAACTTCAGAGGAAAAGAGGTTTTTGTTCGACTGAGTTCAGCTGGATGTGTGTTCGAAAACCTCGTCTGACTCACAGTGAGGGTGTGTCCGCTCAAAGTAAAAAATTACAGATATATAATAACCTCAAAATAAGGCTGATTGAGGTCATATTCCTGCTCAAACATTTGCACAGCTTTTCCAGACAGAGGGCAAAGTTTCATGTCTTTAGCTCATCCCTGCTCAGAGCGAATCGATGAGAGGATGACTCAACGAAACAGAGAGACGAGAAAAAGTCGGATTAAACCTAAAGAGGTAGAAGAAGTGGAAACATATTAGGGAAAGACTTTTTGAGGACAGAGACGGAGTAAAAGAAGGAGAAGTGATGGTCAAACTCTAAGAAATAAAAGTCGAAAAAGAATAAAGAAGAGCAGTGGTTCTCAAGTCCAGTCTTCGAGGCCCACTGTCCTGCATGTTTTGGATGTTTCCCTGCTCCAGCACACCTGATTCAAATGATCAGCTCATTATCAAGCTCTGTAATGGCTTACTAACAAGCTAATCATTTGAATCAGGTGTGTTGGAGCAGGGAAACACCCAAAACATGCAGAACAGTAGGCCTCGAGGACTGGACTTGAGAACCACAAGAACCACGACTTGAGAAGTAGAGGATTAAAGAAGATCTCTGACTGACCGGTGGAAGGATCTGAGACTGAGAGATGAGGCTGTGCGGCAGCTTGTTGCTGTTAGGTCGGTTCGTCTGGATGACCTCCGCCCACGTCACCTGGTAACCAGTCAGCTGCTGGTAGTAAGGGGGCGGGGACAGATCCCAGCTAAAGATGGCTGTCATGTTCCCGCCTCGGACCTCGAAGGCTGCTGTCAGGTTAATGGGCTTCACCAGGACCTTATGAGTTGGAGCTAGAGGAGAAAACCAAGGAGGGAGTATGGGTCAACAAAACTCTGGGGGATTATCTATTTCATTAAAGGTTGCTCTCCACTCACCTTTCTCTGTGAAACAGGTGATTGGTTTGGGGCTCTTGGCCTGGATGGTGGCACAAGACGGGGTAAAGAAGACGGTGCTCTCGGCAGGAGGACGAGTCTTCTGACTGAGCGGCTGGAGGAGGACTTTGTACTTACAGGAGAAGAGGAGACCCTGCAGACTCACAAAGCTCTCCTGGATCAGAAAGAGAAAACCATCAGAAGACCTGAAGTAGATGTCCTCTTTCGCTGAATCTTTAAAATGACAAAATCAAAGTGAAAGTGTTTCTTACCCGAACATTGGTCTTCTCTGTGGGTCTGGTCTGGTTGTGTGCACAGTGCTCTGGACCCCACTCGACTCTGTAATACTCCACTGAAGGATCTGCACAAAACAAGTGATTGCATGACTTTTCTGTAACAATGAACAAACACTACTTAACAGAACTTCCTGATGGTCTAAGAAAAGGGTTTTGGGAGGTTAGCAGTGATTAATCCTTCAAACTTGAACTGTTCACTAGAAAGAGTTTATACCTGTGCTGCTCTGCCAGTAAACGTGCACTCTGAGCTGTCCGTCCTGATAGAACGGGGTCCCCACGTCTAGGATGTCTCCTGTTGGGTTCCTTGGGACGGAGCTAAAAGCTGAAAAACAGACAAATATAACTTGAACTACAAAGATGGACACCGGCTAATGCTACAGTACAGTGAACATACCCAACAACCCTTAACACAGGACAAGACTGAGAAACTCTCTCAAGATCCTGAGAATAATTTTTATTCAGGTGAACTCGTAGTTGAGGTCTAAGACAGTTTTTACACAGCTTCAGCCTTCTTGGGTCTATAACTCATACCAAACCAGGGCTGTCAACGAATATTCTAAATACGAGTATATATTTGAATATTCGAATATGTTCAAACCTATGTGTTACTTTTTAGGACGAATATTCAAACGTCATTCTGGAGCAATTTTGAAAGCCCTATACCAGACTTGGTCAAAACCATGTAAGCACATATTCTCATGTGTAGCTTCATATTTGGTGGTGGTGTACCCTAAAAAGTCTATATATAAGACGCCAAAGCCTGAGGCAGGGAGAATACACCTCCCTAAAAAGCCAAGGTCGGTAGAGCAGCAGCTAAGACTGCCACAGACGCAGCATCGGTGAAGAGGAAGGAGAAGTTAGGGGGTTTGCAGAGGAAGCAGGAATAGAATAGAACGAATACAAACTAAGAGATTCTCACAACAGCTTTAAATCTGAATGTTTGCACGTATTTGAACCTAAAGAATTTACCTGAACCAAAACTTCTTCAAGCTGCAGCAGCTTTGAAGAACTGACCACTTGTTAGCTCCGGTTTGGTCTTGAAAACTCTTGTATTGTTAAATAATTCATGGCTAACTGTTCACAGAGAATTTAACCTGCTAACCTGATGCTAAAGAGGTACGTGGGTTCCACTGAGCTTCTAATCAAACTTGTGAATCAGGAGTAGGCACGGACAAAAACATCTGTTTATCATTCCAGTTTATACCTGCGTGAACTTCGGGCACCAAAGAATCACTTTCATCAATGTCATATTAAGTTGTATTCACTCAAATCCTTCTTTTCTGTAAATTTCCGTCTTTATTCTCTCTCTCTCTCTCTCTCTCTATATATATATATATATATATATATATATATATATATCAGCTTGTCACTTTGAAATAAACCCCTTGACATTTCGGGTGAAAGTAAAAAGGATTTTCTGCTCTGCTGTACTGATAAGTTTGTGAGTTCAAAATCTTCAGGTTGTGACTGGGAGGAAAGAAGCTTTTGAGACATTGATGATCAAAGATTTACATCCCAGCAGGAGAAAGAGTCTTTTCAGTCCTGTGAAAGCAAACTGTGTAACACCTGGAGATCAGACAAAACCAAGAGGAGACATTTATTTATTCTGCTTTTACAGAAACGTTTGCATCTGTACCTCGCTGTGTGCTGAAGTGCAGGATGGCTCGGGGGCCTTTGAGCTGAGTTTGACCCCAGTAAGAAACAGCCTGGACCTCCACGCTGTAGCTCCTGTTAGCCCGCATGCTGTCCAGCTCCACCTGGCTCTGCAAACATGAAAACACAAAAACAGAGTCAAGCATTTTGTTTTCACCATCCAGCTCGACATTTTTTGGTCATTCAAAGAAGTAAAAGCTGAAATCTTTGCTCCTAACTTTGAGCATTTTTGTTCTCTTGCGGCTTTTTTGTAAGGGTTCATGGAGGCAGCCAGTGAAGCGAACACTTAGCATGACACGCCACCTTAAATTCACAAAATGTACATCCGACTCGCTCAAAATCCCTCGTCAGATCAGAAAGTCTGCACACACCACTATGTGTCTAAGACACGCATCAAGGAGAATTACATCAGGGTCACACCAAATCCTGAAACTGGCACGAGTTTTTCTGTACTTTCCAGACATTTTTGTTTTGTTTTTACTTTCCAGACAGTCAGAGTGATTGTATCGTATCTCCTAAATCTTGGCAAAAAATGGCTTGTGGAAGCAGCAGCAAAGACACCGGGGTACAGAACAGATCAGACACTTTCTGTGTCTGTCCTTACCTCTCTGACTGTCTTCCTCCTCTTGGTCAGCGATGAAGCAGACTGCTGTCCCGCTGCCGTCCAGCTCCAGCTCACTTTGTAGTGATGGACAGGGACGTCCAGGTCAGAGGGCACGCTCCACAGCAGCCGAGCTGACACCGCCCGACCGGGACCGAAGCTCATGTTTGCAACCCTCAGCTCAGAGGGGGCAGGGGGGTTGGAGGGGTCTGATGGAGGGGGGTCACAGTTAATCACAACCTCTATTTTTTTTTAACCTATCATATCAAATACTTAAAAGGATTCATTGTTGAACTAATGAAATCTGCACATTTCCACTAAAAATGTCTAACCTGGAGACTCAGGTTAGACATATTCTTCTCTACCAGATGTATCTAGCAGTCTGATAGTCTCTGATATTAAAAGGTATCCGAGAATAACAAAAATAACAAACACCAGGTGGTATTACTGTGGGGACAAAACAACCGACACACTTTTATGGTCAAACATAATGATAATACTAATGATTAATTCTCTCCTTTTAATTAAGGACAAAGATTCTGTGTGTGTCTGACCTCTGCGGGAGTGGATGTGTCTGCTTGGCGTGGTGAAACCTCTGGTCCCGTGTGTGTTCACAGCAGCCACTCTGAACTGGTACCAGCGGCCAGGCCGGATGTCAGAGAGCCGAGCTCCCTGCTCTGTCGTCTGAAAGGTCAGGATGAGAAAAGGTGTTTAAATGCAAATGATTTGAGGTGCAAGGCATTTAAAGCCCAGCAACGGTTTAAATATGCTCTGAAAAAAAGCTTTTATAGCAGGAGGTTTATCATTTCTTGTTCTTCTTGCAGATAAGATCTGAGATTTTCAACCCAGTGAATATTAACATATGTGTAAGTCTTTGTACGGTGGCCCTGAAGGTTAAATGCGCAAACATTTCATGGCAAAAAACTGTTCACTAAATACAAAAATTATTTAATCAGAAAAAAGAAAAAATGAAACTTAAACTTCTTGTCAAATATCAAAATTTTTGTTCTATTTAAACTAAGTTAGCTAGCATGCTCTTTGCTGCTGCTCTCCCTGCCTTCACCTCAGACTCTCCTTTTTTCCACTGTCTGATTTCACCAGTGTTATATGGACTGTTACTGGGACGTTTGATTCTGCCCCTAGGTGTTTCATAAATGTATATAAGAGGGAGTGAAGGTTTGCTCTTCCCGCTTCAGGCTTTGGCGTTCCACATACAGGGAAACGTATCATTATGTATGACCTATTTCATGTAAATAATAATGTCTTTGACTGAAGAGGTCCTGACTGAAATACTTTCATGCTTAATAAAATCTTTTTACAGACATGAAATGTTTGTGCAGCTGACCCTCAGGGGCCACCGTACCTTTGTGAGTTTGCAAGCTTTTCAAAATGCAAAAAAAATATATAATTAAAATCATTTCCCAGAAGGCTCCAGTGTTTTTTAGACAACTCAGGGTTTTAACTAAAGTCAGAGCAGCCTTCCCTTTGTAATTCAAGTACAAACTCAAAGAAAGACTGTATCAGTGAAATTTTGTGAGGAAATAATTTGTTTTGTGTCTGTTTGGCAAAAACTATGTCTACAAAAGTCAGTTATTCAGGGTTCTGGTCCTTACACACCGGGGCCGACACGAATATAGAACGCGAAAGTCCGAAATATCTGGAGACGAATTTTGACACGCCTGACTATACACATCAAGCCCGCTGCAATTTTGCGACTTTCCGGGGGAAAAAGACGCATCCCGGGGAAGACTTTTGCTGGGGAAAGTCCCACCTCCTTCGCCTCTGATTGGCTAGAAAAGCTGGAAACGTCATCACATGCTCAAGCCAAACAGTCAGCACTTATAGCCAATCAGAGGCAATAAGATAAGCACATGGAACTATGGTAACAACTGTTAGCATACATTAGCACAGATGAAAGTTAAAACAAAGACGTTTAGCAAACTGTTAAAGCACACAAACTATCATATGAGAGATCCGACACTATGACTCTCCGCAAGTTGTCCTTCAGGTCGTTATCTTTGTAATATTTGTGTCTTTTATCAAAAAGCACTCTGTTCTCAGACACGTAAATAATTAGCCAGTCGGCCATGTTGGATATACTGGTGAAGCAGACATCGCAACAACACGCAATCTGAATGGTCAGAAGTGATCACACAGTATGCGAAACTTTAGAAAAATCAACCATGATCTGAAAAAATAAATGCCGCAATATCGCAGAATGGGAAAACGTTGCTGATGTGAACGCTTGTATTGACAGGATACGGGTTCGAAAAAAAATATTGACGTCCAAAATAATCGCATGACAAAAACGGCCCCAGTGTGAAAGGACCTTTACGGTTAGATTTAGGGTTAGATCCCGTTTACCCAACAAGTTCATGAATTTTCCCACATGCACCAAATGCACCATTTGCAGCAAGCTTACCTGTGCCACCACCTGCCAGGAGGTGGCACTGTCCTCGCTGGGCTGGATGCCGAAGTTCCATCTCCTCTGCAGGACGTAGACGACGGGCTCGGCAGAAATGTTGAAGCGGGATGACCATCGCACCTCCAGCTGACCGGAGGGGAGTTCAGCAAAACCCAGCTCTTTCCTGGGCTTCAGAGGAGCGCCTGAGAGAGAGAGAAGGAGAGAGAAGGATACTTTTATTTTCATGTGTTTGTTCCTCTACATAGAGCTCACTGGAACAATTTCCCATGTCAGAAGAGTCATAAAGTATTGAATCTTGAATCTTGTATCTTGTAGTTGGCCGACAGAAGTCTCTGTCATGCCAAATGTTCATCCAACAACAGCAGTTAATCAGACCCTGATTGGCAGCCATGACCCTGAACGCTCAATGGCAAAGGATACGCAACTGAAATTTGTCATGACTTCAAAACCAATCCTGTAATTTATCAGGTCAGTTTGGGCTTCAGTCTGCAAGAAACAAAAACTGAATATGATCCATTCAAAGACCTGAACTAAAACTGCAGAACAACATGAGGATGCTTGGCTGCGTTGGGTTGCAGTATTTGGATTTTTATTTCAATATAAACTTGTGATACTTGCTTTCCTGCCTCTTGTTTTTGTTGCAGTACTTTCTTGTGTCATCTGCAGCTGCACTGCTCCATCTTCTTTCTGCTCTAACTTTGCATCTGTATCTGTTTTGTTTCGCCTGAACTTTTAGGGTCACTAACTCTTACACTCATCTTACTCTGGTGGTATTCCTCTCTCTGCTGTTAGGGCTGTGTCCCCTCAGAGAGGACATAAACTTGTCAGTCAGGTCACTCAGCGTCTCCCCCTCTGCAGAGATTTAAAGCTTTTCTCTGCACCTTTATGTGAAAAGCTACAATGAGTTTCTTCTCCCATCTGGAGTGTTTTTATCAGTGAGGTCTGAACTGAACATCCTGCTGCAGGCTCTCAGGATCTGTTCTCCTCGGCTCGCTTTGATCCACCTCACAACCACGGAGGCCTAAGTAGGACAAACTCCACCTGACTCACACTGGCTGTCTGTTAGCGACGGATTTTCCACCTGGAGTTACGTCATGCATCAGATAGGAGGCCCAGGGGAGGCCAGACGACGCCTGATTCAGGCTGACAGGAAGTTTATGACAGTACAAGTGTGTCACAGTGAGTCATGCAGGTAATAATTTATGACAAAAACACCTTTAATGAAAGAAAATGTTAAAAATAAAATGATACGGCTGCTTCAGAGCAGCCTTGTTTCTTTTCTCGGCATCAAACTGCAGAGAGGAACCAAATCTGGAGATGGGGGCCAAAAAGGGAATTATTCAGAGGGGCTGAAAAGTTTGAGTTTCTTTACATATTCAGACACGCAGGCTGTTATGAGACGGTGAAAAAGCACGACACCTTTAATATCTCACTGTCTGTCCTTTTTCTGCAATTAGAAAATTTCAATCAAGGGCTTTTCAAGTGTCAGCTTGTTACGATTCATGTTTTTCATCATTTTGAAGATAAAAATTTTGATTTTTTTTCCCTCTTATTACATTTTTAATACAACTGTTTTCTGTTCATTTATAATGCACATGTTTTTTCTCAGTCTCTTTGACTGTTAACTGAATATCTTTGTGATGTGGAAAACCCAAGACTCTGAATATCATCTGAGTGATATTTCAACCATTTTTTGACCTTTACGGAACAACAAACTATTTCAATAAATAAATAAAAAAATATGATTTGATGTTGTCAGTTACAGCTCGGTTGGCACACATGATCATCCTGTTTTCATCAGATTTTGATGAAAAATGTGTTTTTCTTGTTGTCTGTATGTTCATATGGCATTTTTCTGATGCGACAGGACATATCATGAGAAAATTAGTATTAGTAAATTTAGAAAAAAAATATTTCTTCATCCAAATCGCTGTGAATCTCTGGCAGACCCAAATGGCAGGTTCAGAAACAATGAGATTTCGTCACGTAACCAATCCAAGCTCCAACAATGGAGCCTCACTATGTAGGCCACACACATCTGATTCAAATGATCAGCTCGTTATCAAGCTCTGTAATGGCTTACTAACGAGCTGATCATTTGAATCAGGTGTGTTGGAGCAGGGAAACATCCAAAACATGCAGGACAGTGGGCCTCGAGGACTGGACTTGAGAACTACTGGTTTAACAGATTGCAATGCTTGTAAGAAAGCTAATTATAGTATTAGCTTTCATCATGTCACTAAAGACAACTGTCCAAGGGTTGAATAGGGCTGTAGAATGGGACTGTGAGGAACTGCTGAAAACCTACACCCTGGTCGTTCTCTCCTCACCTTTGTAGAGGTCTTTGGGGGTCTGGCAGGTGTGTCCGCAGCCGTTGGAGCAGCATTTCTTTAGAGTGGAGCAGTCTCGGTCGTGGTCGCAGCTCTCCACGCAGGCTGCAGCGAAGCCGCTGGCTTTCTCCGGAGGGGGACAGCTGCCCTGCTTCACCGCCAACACTGACTGCAGGAACTCACAGCTGGTCACACACTCCCAGTGCTTCTTGGGAAAGACTCGCTGCAGAGGGAAAGTGTACTTTCAGTGGTTGTTACTCTCACTGTTGACTGCTTTTCTTTGCAGATTTTTACTAAAACACTCAAAGGATACGTTTGGCATACTTGCAGTTTGGTGTTGTTGCCTCAAAGGGTAGAAATAGAAATAGAAAAATAACAAGCATACAGTAAAGAGACGAGTGTAGTTATTGCTACTGATTCAGCACAGTTGAAGATGAATCATGATTATTTTAAAGTTATCTGAATGAATAAATTTAACACTTTAAATATCTAAAAGTCAAATCCAGCTTATCCTTCTTGGTTTTAAAGCAAATGAAATACAGCATCAGTACATAAATCTAAGTTTCGCAACATTTGGAATTCAACTGAGGATAAAAAGGCTTTCTAAGGATTTATTCTTAGATGTATTAGCTCTCAAAACTACTCGACTAAACAAAAGAATAAATCTGATATTTGTTTGTAGTCATGCCTGATGCTGATCCTAGGTTGTTATTGTTTTTTGTATCTTGTCAAGTTCAGAAAAGCACAAAAACAGTTACTGAATTCAAATATCTGTCATATCCAGACTCTAAAAGCAGGACTGAAATAAAGAAGCCAAACTTTAGGCAACCTCTTTCTTTCAAAGCTGTTTTTCCAGCGATCATTACACAAAATTTCATGCGTTAGATGTGCACCAGGTTTCTGTTTCTTACAGAGAAAATACGGAATCTGGAACCAGCATGCTCACTGCAAAGCCGCTCACACCAGTCAGAGAGTGGACAGGCTTGTTTCAGCTCTTTGGCGTCCACAGAAAGTTGATTACTGCCCCCTTTTGTGTTAGAAAGTTTGATAAATGCTGCTAAAATATGGAAATGTGCTTTTAAAAGGCTGCCAAAATAAAGCAGTCCATGCAAATTTAAGTGCCCGAGTTTGGAGGTATTTAATGTGAGCTTGGAACAAGTTTGACAGATATTAGTAACTCTGCAAGAAAGTGTTAGAGCGATTCACAATATGTGCAAGCAAACTTTTTAATGGACAAACCTGTTGTGTTTCCTAAATAGGGGTGTTCCAGTACAACTTTTTTACCCCTGATACGATACCGATATTGTAGCCTTCAGTATTGTCTGATACCGATATTGATGCGATATTAGCACAAACTTTTGCATGACAAGTTTTGCACACAGCTGCAATGTCTTTTTGGACTTCAATAAAAATCTCTGATATTTAGTGGACAAAGGGAGTGCAGACGCTGGTTTTCATGTTGCAGCGTGGTGCTGATTTCAGACTGCTAGGTCACCCTTATCACGGTCTCCTCACCCACCAGCTTCGTCTCAATGCTGCAAGAGCCAAACCATCCAGACCAAAACCGTCATCAAGCTCTCCACAATGCACCCTCTCCAACATCATGCCTTTCTGTGTCCTGTACCTCAATTTCTGTGCCGCTAAACTACCAAAAAAAGCAGTCAGACGCCCTGATTCACTTTGCACCTTGAACTTTGAACTGTTTGTTTTAGATCATTGAAAGATGACCCTTAGACTAGGGTTAGAGTGCATTATTGAAGTCTTTGGTCTTCATGCATATTTTCTGTCAGAGAACAACGTGTGACAGCGTACCTCACAAAGCTCTCTACAGTTGCTCTTCCTCTTCATCTCCCATGAATCTTTGCAGGGTTCCAGGCACTGTGGACATAAAAACACCACATTCAATCAATCATACTGAAACTGTGAAAACATTTAACAGTGCACTCAGTCAATAATCAATAAGAGAGAGTAGATAAACCTAAAACACGTTTATGTAAGCACACGCTGGTTTGGAGTTGTTGTCCTCTGCGCCATAAAGCTGAATCCTGCACCAGTAAGCAGCTGAGACTCAGGGGAGCCGCTGCACACTGATTGTAATTTCATGCTGTAGTGGGAAACAGTGGGGAGGGGAGGGATATACAGCAGGTTCACAAGGACAATGAGCAGTGTGAAAGTTACAGAGGTAATGTTCAATCTGAGGAAACCTTTCCCAGGAGTTTGGATCTTCCTATTTATCACTTTGTGGAGGAGGAAATGTCCAACGTATCGCATCCCAGGGTGTAAAAAGCTAGTTCGAAGAGGCCAGCTATCATCTCAGCCTGATTGTGTGCGAGACAAAAAAAACATTCAATCACATTCGATGAATGCATCCTTCTCTTTTTGGGCCAATAAGGTTTCTGCATCAGGAGAGAAACTTGGTGACATAAGCGCAACAGCTAATGATGCAAACAAGTAATTCTCCATAGACCAGACTGTGTCAAATCAGCTCAGCTTCAGCAGTCTAAAAACCCCAGAGGATGCAGTTCTGGACTGGAGCACAACATACAGGTTTAAGACATAATTGGAAGAATAAAGAGCGATTTTCAGTGACGGAATATTGGCTTTTTTTTTGTCTTATTCACAGATTTTGCAGTTATAACTGTGCTGAGCACTGTGGTGGTATTTGGGCCACCTTATGGAGAATAATGTGAGTAAAAGTTGTGGTTGTCAAACAAATGCAGGGACTCTTGATGACAGCAGAACTGTCTTAAAGCTTATATTAGCCATAAGGCTAATATGCTTTCTCCCGATTCGATTCTTCTACAACTTCATCTCAACATTAGTGTCTACTCAGAACTGAAAAACAGTCAGTCTGCTGTCGTTTCAGTCTTCTCGCTTCCACCCGGGACACGTTTCCCCCCCCCCCCCCGGAAAGTCGCAAAATCACATCGGGCTTGATGTGTATAGTCAGGCGCATCAAAAATCGCCTCCGATTATTTCGTAATTTTGTATTCTATATACGCACCGGCCTCGGTGTGTAAGGACTTTTATTCTTAAATTTAAAAAAAAAATCCATTTTTGAACAAAATACTTGACTTGAAATTTGTAAGACGAAAAAATTGCGATACTTATATGAATCTATTTTTTCTCCAAACCCCTAATTAGCCACATGCTTAAAGTAAAACTGGTGCAGCTGAAGCTTTTGATTTTCACATGCAGCTCCTCATATTCTGATGTTTGCCAGATAATATTCCTGTAAAAGTTGTCTGATTAGACCACTTTGATTTAATGTTCACTCCAGGAGCTTTTGGAGCATCCACACTGACCCAGAGGCGGGATAGAACTGGTTTCCAGTAAAACAAGGTGCCCACACTCCCAGAGTCCACAGTGCTTACAGAGTCCATGCGGCTCTTCCTCCTCTGTGATGAAGACTCCTTGGAGCATGTCTGATAGCTCTGCCAAGCCTGCCATCTCCCATCATCCTTCCCCCGGCCTCTCTGGGAGAGCTCGTCCACTAATCCAGACCGACGCTCCCTCCCTCGCCATTCCCAGCATCACCTCAGCGCTGGTTAGTTTTCCGCTCCATTTCAAGCTTAAATCGAGCATTTCACCCCCGAACGCCACAAATACAGCTGAGCGGGGAGAACTTTGAGAAGTGGTAGGAAGAGATTTGAGAGAGCACCTCAGTCTCTGCAGAGACTTTTGTCTTGGCTGCAGATTTTAGCACCAAATTGGAAATGGTTTGGCACCCGAGCTGTTCTCCGCAGGTCGCAGCCTCGTGTTTACTCAGTCTGTGTGTGTTTCTTAGTGTGTGTTTGGCAGCAGCGCTCCTCCATGACCAAGCAGAGATAATGGAGCGAACGACTTCTCTGCTGACCGTGCAAAATGCTCTTCATCATTCGGTACTCGACGCTGTTTGATTCGCTGCCCAGACGAGCCCCTCCGAGAGCAAACAGGCCCCGTGTTTGTCTCCAGCTTCCTGTTTCAACAGCTCGCACACTCTTTGAAAGCGTTCCAGACCTTTAAAAACATCCTCAGACAAGACCTCGGCTTTTCCCAAGGAGCGGACTGTGAGCAAATTATTTCACAAGTAGTTTTTATAGAAGCAGGAGGATGTCTGGCTCCCTGACAAACATCCCAACAAGGCTGCAGGGGGTGTTGAAGTCCACTAATGACTGCCAAGTGCTTCTGAAAGACTGATTCCAGCACGCTCAATGCCGACTGTCCAGGTTGTGAGTTCAGACTGTGGTGTCAGTGCAGACGGCGGATCTGATGCTACAGTAGTGCCATCTTAAACTCCTCCTTAAGAGCTTGATTGAACCGGACTGTGTGGGAGTGCGGTGCTAATCAACTCTGGCACTCGCAAATGGCCGTCTGCCTGGAGGAGATAGTGACAGAAGGATTAACAAGCACTCATTACCACCGAGTCTACGAGGACGAGCCCAGGCCAAGTGGTCAGGAGCCAGCGAGATGGGCTGTCACACAGAAACCCGCTTCAACGAGCTTTTCATCAGGACTGAGATTAAGAGCTGGATGGAGATGTGTCAATATCAAGATCTGCAAAAACGAATCTTTGAATTTAAAAATAGGGCATCAGGAAGAGCTCCAAACCAAACCCAGAGAGATTAGCTTGACTTGATTTCTTCTGTATACTTTAACTAGAAACTGGCACCACTATAGAACACGCATGGCCGCTTTAAAAGCCTCAACTCTTAAAGGTAGTTCTGATGTTCAAAACATGGATGTGCACAAATTGGAGTTACAAAAGCCACAGTAATGAGGCCAGTTTGGATCTTCATCTATACCTGAATTTGCTTAATGTATTCACTCACTGTGAGGCTGTGGTTTCATTTCAGTCAAACTTCTGCAACCTGCATCAAAATAAAGCTGAGAAACTGTCATTATAGCAGGACGTGTTGATTTCCCTCATGCAATAAAACCCCAGTGTGAGTCGTTTCATCCACATTAGTGAGGTTATTTTCCAGATATGGAGGACCTCTGCTCTCCACTCATCGGCATTGGGCTTCATACCAGCGGTGTAGCCATTTATCGACTTTGTAGGCGTGGATTAATAATTCAACAGTGAAACTGTGTGTGCTTGTGGCAGAAGAACTACAGTGAAAAGCCCACAAACTACAAATCAGACTCAACATTAAAGGGATATTCCGGCATTAAATTATTAGGGTCGAACACACAAGTTAGACACCCCCTCGAGAGATGAATGTTGCCGACCGCTTGCTTCTCTAGTTATACCAACTTAAGTAACAACCGCATGATAGCAATACACAGCGGTTTATGTCTCCACATGCAAACCGCAACCAAAAAGCCACTCTATAGCCACAAATAATGTTCAGAACAGCACCTAACTTCATCAACAGTACATATAGAGTCTCAGCCAAAGTACTAGCCACTAAACATCTTTTTAGCGTTGCCTAATTTCTTTAGCAGAGAGACTAAACACAACTCACCCACTCTCCTCCAGCAGCCGCTTGTTTGTGGGGGGAGCTCTGACGAGTCAATCACTGAGTACAGCGGAGTTTCGCAGCTCAAGGAAGAACATTTATGATCATTACTTCATAGAAATGCAATCAGACTAAGACGCTAAGGCAGAAGAACTACCCCTTCTGCAGTGCAAAATGATTATTATGATGATTATTACTTCATGGAAATGATCCGCTGCACTCGGTGATTGACTCGTCAGGGCTCTCCCTACAAACAGGCGACTGCTGGAGGAAAGCTGGTAAGGTGTGTTTGGTACTATGGTACTAGTACTATGGCTGGGACCCTGTATGTACTGTTGATGAAGTTAGGTGCTGTTCTGAGCATTATTTGTTTCTATAGAGTGGCTTTTTGCTTGAGGTTTGCACGTGGAGATGTAGACCGCTGTGTATTGCTAACGTGCGGTCGTTACGAAAGTTGGTATAACTCGAGAAGCAAGCAATCGGCAACATTCATCTCTTAAGGGGGTGTCTTAATCGGTGTTACAGTGTGTTTGACCCTATCTAAATTATTCACTGGAATATCCCTCTAAGTTGTATTTGTTATTTTTTTTCCACTAAACCAACCCAGTCATAGTCTTGCTTGAACTTAAACTAAAAGAAACTCACCTGTACCTTTCTCTGAGCCTTACAAGACCAAAACAAGAACTTAAAGAGGACATAGTTTACTCCAATGAGGATTATGTTGCAGACATTACAGCCTGTTTACCTTCTTCAGGTGAAAGCACACGAATAAAGCCATCAGGAATCATTTTAAAAATCCACCATTTTGACCTTGAAATAAAGCTGAAGGTTTGAAATGTATATTCCCCTCACGTGGTGGGATAAGAGTAATACATCACCTTACCTTCATGTATGTTTTCAGGCACATGTGCACCTTTACATATATGTGCATCACTGTGCAGCAATAAATCACTCCCTGCTCTGTGCATGTGTGTGTGTGTGTAAACATGTATTGATTCATGTTGGTGCACTGTAGTACTTATTACCCATTTCTCAGCTCTAACATTCATCATCACACTCTGCTCTTATTCTCTGATGTGCTATACATCATGTCAGGTTCCCAGCTGATACGCCAACACTCATGACGGATGCAGAGAGGAAACGGAAAGAAAACATGCCGTACAAACTCCCCTTTCTGGTAAAACATCCGTAACATGAAAGTTTTCTTTGTAACTTCCACATAACGAGGCTTGGATACTTTATTCCTCTTCCTAATTGCGACTCTGAGCCCTTTTTGGTCCTTAACAGCTCTCAAGAGAAGCATCGTCTCCTCGCAGAGTGATGGAGATATTAACGCGCCTCAGCAGCCTCTCACTTTGTTAACCATGCGATCCCAGTGACGGCTAATTGTGATGACATGTTGGCGCGTCAGACATCTCCCCAGCTGCATTATTAAGAGCTGGTAAAATGAGATATTCAGGCCTTTAGTGAGTGATCACAGGGAGGGAATGTTTTCATGACAGCATGAATTAGGTAAGGAAATGAGATGCTGCCTCATCCTCTTCGTGTTTTTATCCGAACATGCTCTCTGATTCATGTTCAGACATCACTTATGATGGTATTATGCGCAGATTTACGTCTTCAGCTAACTGCTGACTTCCTACCCTCTTTGTGTCCTCCTTTGTGATCAGCTCAGATGCTTTAAGAAGTAACATAAATCCAGATTAAAGCTTTTATTATCCTCTACAGTATGATTCATCTTAACAGTCCCAATAGACAGAGTCCCTAGATGCTTAAAATATCTTTGAATACAGTGATCTTACTGTTCTGTGAAAAATATGTTAATTTTGGAGTTGAAGGCCAGCAATACATTTCGATGAAGTAATTAAAGGAACAACCAGATGATGAGTTTTTCAGGGAAGACCTTCGTATTTCAGCAAACCACATTCTGCAGGGGTTACAACAGCACGGCTCTGTAGGAGAAAAGTCCTGCAAAGAAACTAGCCCGATGCAGTCCTGACTTGTCCCCCAGGAAGACATTTTCAGTTTGTGTTTGACCCTGTTTCTCTCCTGTTCTCAGTGTTTTATTCTTTAGATCAGTTTTCAGTTTTATTTCCTGTTTTATTTTGTAGTAGTTGATTCCTTGTGTTTCTAGTCTGAAGAAGAAGAAGCAGAAGCGAGAAGACTGACACAACATCGGACTGACTGTTTAGACGTTTAGCAAACTGTAAAAGCACACAAAACATCGTCATATGAGAAATCCGACACTGTGACTCTCCACAAATTATCCTTCAGGTCGTTGTCTTTGTAATGTTTGTGTCTTTCATCAAACAATAAACGTAAACAATCAGCTGGTCGGCCATGTTGGATATACCGGTGAATCTGACGTCGCAACAACACGAAATCTGGTTGGTCAGAAGTGGACACACAGTATGCGAAACTTTAGAAAATTGACCGTGATCTGAAAAAATAAATGCTGCAATATCGCAGGACAGGAAAGATCGCTGATGTGAATGCTTGTATTGACAGGATATGGGTTCGAAAAAAAATACTGACGTCCAAAATAATCGCACGACAAAAATGATCCCAGTGTGAAAGGACCTTTCGTCTTTTATTTATTAAATAATTTTTTGCCTGCGTTTTGGGTCCTCTTTCTTTTCTTTTTTTTAGCCCTGGCTCATGACAGAATGAACCAACAAAGAAACAGGGGAAGACAGGGACTATATATACACACAGGGTAACAAGCACTAACGAGCAACAGGTGTGGCAGAGGAGACACAGGTGAAATCATGAGTGATTAACGAAGGAGGGAAAAATAGGGAGGTAAAACCAGACTAGAAACACAAGGAATCAACTACTACAAAATAAAACAGAAAAATAAACACTGAAAACTGATTTAAAGAATAAAACACAGAGAACAGGAGGAAAACAGGGTCAAACACAGACTGAAAACTCATAAGACTGGAATACAGGTAACAATAGGGAACAGAGAAACTGGGGAAAATACGCAGGAAATGTACTCAATAAACAAAACTTAATAGAAAATTGCAGAAATGTTCTAATCCACAACTTTTTTAGGTGTTTAAAGCAGCGTTTGCCCTGAGGGACTGTTAGTTTGGAGAGCTTTGGAAATTAGGCTCCTGTTTATTGCTGTTTAATAGTGAAATAAAAGGCTCAGTGGCGTGATGTGAGCTCTAAAGACTCTCTCTGTCTGCGCTCAGCTTGGTCCTCTGGGTTCTTCAGTTCCCGTCATTGTGCAGCAGCAGAGCTCTAAATGTAGATGTGGTAAACTCTGTCAGAGTCGCTCGGCGGTGACAGGTCCTCTCTGAAGTATTAAAACTGATTTCACATCTCTCTCATGTTCTCTGCAGCTTCTTGATCAAAGACGCGTCATGTTTTTTTGGAGCTGCAGCTCAGATACGTCAGCCTGTGGTTGGCTTTTTTGTTGGGATGCGTTGTTTGTTTGGTGGCTCATGAGTCCACAGAACAGATGATCTTATTTGTTTGAATTGTGGTGATTGTTTGCGTGCTGGGGAAGCTAAAACTACTTTTATAATCTTTGATCAGTTGTCGTGATACAGCTGCGGTTTGGCTTGTGTGATTTAAAAAGACAGCTGGGTACATGCACACTTTCTCCACACGCAGTTTGCAAACAAAGCCTGTGAAAAAACATGGGCGTCGACTCAGTGTCGTCACTCACTGCTTTCTGAAGAGGCGTTGTGAAGCCCAAAGATGGCCGTCACTGTGTTAGGAATACAGCCTAACTTTGGGTGAGAAGCTGGGGCCAAGACAGACTAGCAGGTTGCAGCTTTTACAGCCTGTTTTATTGCTGCAGGCTGAAAAAAAAAACACTAAAGCTTTACCTTGAGTTGGTCCTACTTTTAGGGCTTGTTTTGTAAAAGCACAACAGTTTAATGTTGCATATAGCAGCATTTTAGGCCGCTCCAGTCCTCTGGCTGTCATGATTGTTTGCACTGACTGCCCACCATGTTGCACCTTTGTTTTGCCTGGCATGTGGAGCTAAATGGAAGGGATCAATAAGGGAACTGCTAGGCTTAGGCCATGTCCACAGGTAACCGGGTGTCTGCTAAAACAAATACATGTACCTCCGCCAAGGAGGTTATGTTTTCGGTAGCATTGGTTTGTTTGTTTGTTTGTTTGTTTTACATTTTGGTGGTGATCCGGATCGCCTTCTGGATCCAGGAATTTTTTGAAGGATTCTTTACCATTGTGAGGTAGGGCAAATTTTGGAATTTTTGCATTTAACTCTATAAAAATGGCCACAATCTTTAGTAAAAAATTGCACAAAAGGATTTCAATGAGTTTTATGAGGTGTCAAAGGTTGATCCTGAACGTCAAACCCAAGGTTGCATCCATTACATCCATTAAACATGCTTGCTTTAAACTCTCAGACTAAACTGATACTGCAGTTTTACATACCTTAGCGCACTGTTTGTGGTGTTGACACCAGCCCAAGGATCCGTTATTCTGCAGAGAGAGACAAGAAAAAAAAAGAAAAAAAACATGAGCATGGATTATTAGGTGTTTCTAATTGGATTAAATGCAGAAGAGCTTGTGTTAATGTCCTCATTATGGCTCACAGCTCTGTCACAGCTCAGAGGAAACACTTCTTTTTTCTGTCCAAAGACAAATGACTGTTTTTCCTCTACTCTGCGGAGCTGGTCGTCCTTCACGGCTCCCTGCTGCGAGCCCGCGGCTGTTTGCAGAAAAATAATGAGCAGGCATCCAGGATCACCGCTCGAGTCACAGGAGACGGTCGAACAATACATGTACATTTCAGAGTGGAGAGGCAAACAGGGAACTCGGCGACACACCTTTTTCTACATATCCAGGATTTGTTGAAGTGTCTGATTAACATTTCAAAGTCTTATAAATCCGTGCAAATTATTAGAAACCATGTTTCCCGTCAGCTCCATTCAGCTTTACAAATATAGAGTCATCTATATAAAAGAGCTGAATCACTGTCTGTAACAGCTGCTCGCTGCAGTTTTTAGCAAACATCAGTCAGACAGAATGAAGACATAAAATTCTTCTGGGGGAAAAATAAGTCTGTTTGGTTCTGTATTATCATTCCTGGCTGCAGGAGGTTTGATTGGGTCCAATATGAACAGCAGTGAGAGTGTTCATAGTAATAAAAGCATGAGGCCCAGTGCAACATTAGGGCTTGTTACTGGATTTTTAATGACGTTTGAACAAGGATGGTGCTGAGAGACAAAAAAAAAACATGAAACTTCTGTTACAAACTCAAGGTTAGAGATGCACGAATAAAGTCGGGTGCACCATTGGTCCAGAACGCATCTCAAGGGACAGTTTGGTTTTTATGTTTGATGATAGAAAGTGTATCAACTAGGTCTGGGCAGTGAACCGAAAATTTGCAGATACCGAAATTTAGGACAATAACCAACATCATTTTGCCCATATCAGTATGTTCACTGTAAAAAAATAAATTAAAGTTGGTTTTGGATGTGTGTAGGTAGACTATGTTCTCATGTCCCTTTTAAACCTACGTCGGAGATGTGACTCCACCCCATCGAGTCTGTAACAAAGAGGGAAAGACAGGTGAGGAGATGGAGGACGGTTCAAAAGTTGTAGTGGCTGAGGTAGACGAAGCTGATGTGGGAGGGCGTGAGCAGCTTGTGGAGTAGTTATCATCCATTTATCGTTGTCGAGGTGAACTGCTCGATATATCGTCATATTGATTTGAAGCCATATCACCCAGTCCTAGTTTCAACCACAGGAGATCCTAGTCAGTCCAGCCCCTTTGTTTAGGAACTGGTTGAGGGAACAGAGACTAAAGCTAGGATAGCCTGCAAGACTATTAAACCCGTTCACGAAAACTGCTTCTAGATGGGTTCACTCTGAGTGAAAAATCAGAGGGGGGTTGAGGAAGAGGGCTACAGGACACACCATTCCCATCCCACATGCATTAGGTCAATGTGACTGTGTTTCACACTTCAGCAGCCAATCATCGAACATGAGAGCTGTGCAAAACCATCATCGACTCGTTTCCCATCCATGCATGAGACCAGACCTGAGAGTGATGCATCCCATGTGACGTGCAGAGCCAAGGGTGGAGGGTTTCTCACTAAAGTTCATGTTTGAGTGCAGATAGAATAAAACAAAATCAGACAGGAGAACAGAAGCTCTCATGATTTAGTCTGATTCCTCCTTTTTTTTTTTCAGAGTGGGCCGTCACTGTGTGCAGATTCATCGCTCTAAGTAGGAGAGCAGAGATCCTGTCCACTTCAGTCTGCAGCCGGCAGCAAAGAGAAGCCTCACTGCTGCATTTGTGTGTGTGTGTGTGTGTGTGTGTGTGTGTTTGTTTGTGTGTATAATATGCATGAGTATTATCAGGATAACAAGCCTTATGTTCCCATCAGAATAAAAATTTCCACAAGGTTTATTTTCTCTTCATGTGCACCATAGTTAAGGAACATTGAGGGGTTCTTTTTGGATTATTTCAGGTTCGTGAGTTGACTCAGGGGTCAGGAGTTCATGAGGGTTTGGCTGAATTGAGTGTGAAGAAATACTTCACTGAAATGTGACATTTAGGGCGCATTCACACCACCCTCTTTTAGTCCGGTTGAACCGAACCCTGGAGCATTTACCCCCTTGGTGCGGTTTGTTTTGGTCGGTGACCCCGAACTCTGGTGTGGACCAAATAAACAAACTCTGGTCCGCCTGATGAAGTGGTCTCGGACCACTATCAAGGGAACTCTGGAGCGGTTCATTTCTGGTGTGAACGTCATCCACACCAATCACAGGAAATGGTGGTAGGCTCTCATTAATGCCTGTCGCCGTCTCGTCTTTATCTGTCTGTTGTTTGCAGCACGTCTACTCTGGAATGAATTAATTAATGCCGCAGTTCGCACTCGCTGGCTATTGAGCCGTTCATGACAGGCGAAGACAGCAGAGTGGGGTTTGTATTCCCGCATAAACTAATGACCAATAACCGAACGGTATTTGCGGTCACGTGACTTCTGGTTCTGTTTTCTGGAGCAATTGAGTTTGTCCTTTGTGAACGCAAACCAGACCAGTTAAACAATCAAAACAAATGTATCGTCTTGCCTTGGATTCGAATCAGGAATTTACACACCAATATATATTTGGCAATTGTATAACATTTATTTTGTCATAAAAGATATGTAAATGTTGACGTATCTATAAAATCAAAAATGTTGGGTATTAAGACATCTAACATTTGACAAGTTCAATCTAAATGCTACATATGCTGTCAATCTTCATGTCATAAATATTAATGCTAGATGTAAACATTGAATATGTTGTTCTTCTTATCATTCCTGTGCCTAACTTTACCAATGGAGCCTCCTACATTAGACCTGATTTCACTCCATGATGGAAATTTTTCCTTCACTTATGACTCAACTGAACATATTCAGCTCCTATGTCACAACTTCACCCAAGTAAAGAGAAAAAATCACTGATATATATACCACTTGTAAACTGTCTAATAGCACAAAGTATTTGCATTAGTGCTTTAAAAATTCTGTTATAAGAATAAACACTTGATTTGATGTGGCGTTATTCAATTGTCTTTTACAGAGTGTCAGCATTAGTTCTCCTAACAGCTACTGTAAGATTTCTCCATCAAACTAACAGCTTGGGGAACAGCTGCTGTCATAAAGGTTCGCTATAAAGACGACATTTGGTTGCACTCACACAAAAAGAAGAGTCGTTGGTTTGCTAACTCTTTTTTTAAGCCTCTGTAATAACTTTAAAGTCGCTATAACCCCACACTAAAAGCTAAAAACTTGTTTGGCACGCTTGTGCGCGCTGCTCCGGTGCGCTCTGCGCCCTTACCTGCAGCGGTGTGGAGACGGACAGCGCCTCCACGCTGTGTAGACTGAGGCACCGGGACGCACACCTGGCCCTAGACACGCTCTCTGACCAGGACTCCTCATCATCACCTTCATCGCGCTGCTTCCGGGCGTCGACTCCAGAGCTGAGGAGGAGAATAATCCACAGGGACAGGCTCGGGAGCGGGACACGCGTAAACTGCATCTCTTTCTTGTTCTTCTTGTTGCAGGACTGAGAAACAAAAAGGATGGAGCGGGGAGTGATCTGATGGAGGTCCAGTTTAAGCGCAACTATAAAGCCAAGGGAGGAGCTAAGAGAGCGAGGCGGACACCGCAGGGTCAGGATGCTGAGAGGCTGCAGAGCTGCATGATCACACAGCATGAGCCTAAATGATCCCAAGAGATTCAGAGTCAAAACTTTGTTATAAATTGAGGAAAAACCTTTTATCAGGCAGAGAAATGAGTAACAAAAATGTGAAGGTGTTTTAAAACTTAATTTAGAGTTCAAATCCAGGACCAGGAGGGGAACAGTGTGAGATTTATGAGAGGAAAGCTTTCTTAAATCTGTTTGCTCTCAAACTTTAGGATCTGTCCTACATGACTGTAAAAATTTGGAGTATCATGAACGGGTAAAAGACATACATAATTTGAAGTTGCTGTCTTAATTCAAACTTTTACATTGTTCATAAGTTTTTGCCATTGATTCTCATGGACTTGAAATCAAATAATCATTTTAGGCTTCATTTTACACCATAGCCTCACAGTTGAATGCTTTCATCTTCCAGTGAACTTGTGGTTGAAATCTCAATCAATATTTTTAACCGGACAACAGAGTTTACAATTAAATGTGATAAAAACAGATCCAGAGCTCTTAAAACTGGCGAGGATTCACCACAATCACACACAAGAGGAACGTTATACTGGAGCGGTCTTTCTCCGTTTCCCTGCAGAGCATTTAACTGTCTATAAAACCTCTTTTCCTGAGATGATATAGCCTCGTGTGCTGGTTTAAAAGGTAATAATTTAAGATCAGGTGTAAAAAAAAAAACCTTGTGGGATACAATTTCTCTAGAATGAACTTAACATGTCATAAAAGTGACCGGTTATTTCTAATCAGGTCACATAACAATTCCCATAATATGAGGCCCCAACTTTTAGACCTGCAGTACTGGTCATTTGCCCGCCTCCTCCATGACAACAAATGGGACAAACTCTAAAATCCAAATGCAATTTAAAAAAATAAGAATAAAATAAACGCATACAGAAAAGACAGGTGTTCCAAATATCACGTATTTACATACAAGCCCATGTAGGCGACTGTATGGGGGTTAGCGCCATATTGAGGGATGTCCGAAACCTGAGTGATCAATTCCAATGCCTCATACAGGCGACTCCAAATTTCCCATAGAGCATTGCAAAATGTAGTGACCATCCGATGGTCACTCACCAGTGGTGGGCATCCCGTCATGCATTGCGTCTTGCCATGTAGTGTCCGAAACCTCTGGTGATTAAGTTCTCTATATAGTCAGCTATATAGTAAAACCCCATATGGGGGTTAGGGATTGAATGATTCATTTCGGACACAGCCTACGTTTACACATGCCAGGCTATTTTTACGAACGGACATTTCACCCTCTCCGTTTACAAAAGGAAAACTGTGTGCACACCACTATGTTTTCAGAAAAGTTTTTATTTACACTAACCCATGTATATATATGACATCAAGAGCATGCCAAACCTGTAGGTGGCAGTGTAGCGAGAAGCTCAAGCCCACGTTAGCCAATCAGAATCCCGCATAACAGCAACAACAACAACAACAACGTCACTTCCTTCTTTCCTGCGCAAAATCTGCTGTTGATTACCCAAATCTCCAGTTCTCTCTGTTTACATCCAAATCATGGGTGTCATGGGCGAATTCCTTGTTTGCGTCTAAACGAAGGATGCAAACGATGGTTAATGTCCCGTCTGTCCTGTACCTTGTGGGTCTTTGCAGCTTCTCACCCTGCCTTGGCTTTTTGTGCCTTATGGTGTGTTCGAGTCACCTTGGAAGTCAGATGTCGGAGCTGAAAATGATTTCCCAAACGAGTTTCCAGCGTTTCAGTGACCAAGTCGGAAAAAAGCAAAATCAGAGGCAGAAACAAGATGGCTACGTCTACGAAAGTTATTTTAGCGCTTGCCTTGTCCAAATGTAAGGCAAGCGCTAACATAACTTTCGTAGAGGTAGCCATCTCATTTCCACCTCCGATTTGCTTTGTTCCGACTTGTCCGAATATAAGGCAAGCACTAAAAAAAACTTTTGTAGAAGTAGCCATCTTGTTTCCGCCTCTGATTTTCCTTTTTTGTCCGACTTGGTAACTGATACGCTGTAACTCAGGTGTGATGTCATTTTCAGCTCCGACATCTGACTTCCGAGGTAACTTGAACGCAGCATTAGTCATTGACATTCCAGGTACGCATGTGGAAGGGCAGGGGCCTTTCAAGAAAAGGAAAAAAAAATGTGTCTTGGCTTTTTATGAGAGGTGACACTCATAAAATGTGTCACCGTGACACAGAGGTAAGGTGTGCTCGCCCCATCTTGGGATTTGGCATTCCTTATATTCGAGTAAACAGCAGGAAGTAAATTTCAGATATCCAATAAACAGCACTTGTACACCAGACTGAATAGCAGATATTTCGGTTCATTTTTGATGTATTACAGCAGGTTGTGTTTGAAGTTGCTGCACATTTCCTTGATTCCAGTCTTCCTAACAAGTTTGCCCTTAAAGGCTTCCATACGGCAGCGTCTTAGGAGTGATGACAGCTAAGGATAATGTTTATAGCATCTTTCCAGTACTTTTCTCTCCCCAGATGTTGTAGCATGAGGACAACCCCTCAAACACCTCTTAACAAAGAGGAAACATTTCTGTTCTCTGAGGTTTCAAACCCGCAGGTGGAACTTTTTTTTTTTTCCATGAGAGTAAGAGGGTTTCTTCGTTCAGGGGGGACACGTGTGGTTTGGAGTTTTCCAGGGAATCCCAGCTGTAACTTTCACTGGTAGCTGCAACACAACAACATTTTTATGGACTCCTCTATTAGAGTAACCACAAACATATCGCTCGTAATCAGGCGAGGGCACCGCTGCTTTCCCCGCCCGGGGACAGGAGGAACTATGACGTGTCGGAAACTCTGAAGAGATCCTCCTCGGGATGTCGGTTCTCTCATGCCTGGCACAAGGGGCCCCGCTCTCTCACTGCTGGAGCATCCTGCAGGGTAAATAAGAAGCTGGATTTTTCCCATTCACAAATAAGGTCTTCTGTGTTTTCTCTCAGGTTTTACAGCACAGAGTCTCCACCGTCTTTAAAACCAGAAAATCACACTCATTTTTCAGGTTCAGGTGTTCCTAGAATCCCCAAAAATCTCACAAGTTTTACCCAAATGATGAATCCCCTACAGTAAACCTCCTACTGAAACTGCACAGAAGCTTAAACCAGATCCCTGAGGTGCTTTTTGACTTTTTTTTTCCATCTGCTGGTGTTACTACTGATCCACGGTGTTAATGAAGTGAGTGTCTGACGCTCTGGTGGTCCACCCACAACAGGAAGCAGAATATCCCTGTGAGCGCCCCGCTGAGGGTTTGACTCACTGTTTCACAAATAAAAACAACGCACTATGACAGGCTAATTGTCTCATTGTGTGTGCGCTCCACTGTGCCAGTGTGTCGAGGCTAAAATTAGGCTCTATTTCAAAAAGTTAAATGTAGTTCAGCAAGGAGAGAGACTCCAGTCAGAGGGGTATTTTCCAAACCTGGGTCACGTTATGTCATATTTGGCCGGGTCATAATCCTCAGTCTCCTGAAAAGCCCAGAAAACTCTCAGAAATTTTCAGGATGTGAATGCAAACACTCAAAAATGTCATCAAACTTCACCCAGACTTTTTCAAGACTGCTTTTTTGCATCATTTTGGCAAAAAAAAATTCGACCTAAGCTGATACGAGAAAGCCACGTCAAAATGAATACCAAACAGATTAATCCAGGTGTGACTGATGTGACTGATCAGACACACCTGGATAAATCACAAACCAAAGGTTGCTTGCAGTTTAGAGTTGACTTAGGTGGTCTTTACACAAATTTGTAAGACACCGGTAAAATAAACTATCGATCTGGTGATATTGAAACACGGAGACGCGTATTTGCCCATGACTGTGCATCTTTTTTGAAAACGGGTCTGCAGGTGGATATCAGGGTATTCGTCTTCATGCCGTAGTTGGTGTAAATAGATAAGTCCGGAAAAGACGGTGACCTCATAGCACCCCTCCTTCTCCCTGCCGCCCAACCCACGTTGTCACACACAGCATGTATGAATGTATGCGCATGCGCATTCTCTGTTTTTGGTGCTTTGTGGCAATTTCACAGTGTCACCTTTAGGCCGGGCGTATGTACTACAGGATTTTGCGTGGATTTTGCGTTGTCATGTAAATGCACTAAGCCTATGTACAATACGATGTGTAAACAGCGATACATGTTTTGGTGCCAACGCCAAGACAATACGCGGCCGTCCTCGTGTGAGGAGGGCCTTAATTCTCCTCGGCTGTGTTTGCAGGATCAATAACCTCACAGAAATCTGTTGTTTTAGAGGACATTATCAGACCTGAGGGTTAGCACATGTTTTGAACACATCATAGGTCTCTTCATCAAGAATCTATCTACAGTCAGCTTTTTGCTGTCTCAGTGCAAAGGCTAGTTTAAGATCCAAATAGATTGAAATTCAACAAATTTCAAAGTGATATTTTAGTAATGATTCTTCTTTTTTACATCCATATGGTGCACCGTTGAGTTTTGTTATTGTATTTATCTCTTGTTAAGCATATTTAAGATGCATTTGTATGAAATGTACTGTATAGATAAAAGAGAAATCAAAGGTGGCTGATTAATAAGGAGTTAGTTGTCATATTTCAGGTGTTTTCACTTTTCTTTAATTGATGAATAAATAGATTTAGATCATCGGAATAAGCTGTTATTTTCTGAACCTGTCCAATCAGACTTAATCGTCTCCATGATTTTACAGATGTAGAAGTTAAACCTGAGCAAGTGAGCAGAGTGTGATGGAGTGCCGCATAAAGAGGTGTCCTGTTGACATGTTCATGTTAAATTCGTCTTAAATGACAGAAAAGATGTGAAACAGGAGCTCTTTTAGTCCTGTGTTACATCAGCTGTCCTGTGTGAGCACGTTTTTTTAGTGATGTTGGTGTGCGTGTCTTCCTCCTCTCTGCGTGTGAGCTGGTGGAATCCCACTTCATTTTATTTTTGTGCCGTGGGGTCCTTCAGGCTCCACTCGGGCAGCTGGATGGTATTTCCACTCCGCTGCAGGCCGAAGGAAACCCCTCGTAATGGGATGCACCTCATA